AAAAACCGAGGAACTTTTCTGAGGTTACACCAAAGGTGCATTTATTAGGATTCAGTTTCATTCCGTATCGCCTCAATATTTTGAAGGCTTCCTTCAGATGACCAATGTGATCCTCCTTCCTTTTCAACTTCACTAGCCTGTCGTCGATGTAGACCTCCATAGTCTTTCTGAGTTGTTCTTTGAACATCTTGGTGACTAGCCTTTGATATGTCACCCCTGCGTTCTTGACTCCGAACATGACTCTGTAGCAGTACATTCCTTGGTGAATGATGAAAGTGGTCTTTTTTTGGTCTTCTTCTGCCATTAGAATTTGGTTGTAACCAGAATAGGCATCTAAGAAGCTTAATAGTTCGTACCCAGCCGTTGCATCGATGAGCTGGTCGATATGTGGTAACGAAAAGGAATCTTTTGGGCATGCTTTGTTCAGGTCGGTGAAGTTGACACACATTCGCCACTTCTCGTTCTTCTTTTTTACCATGACCACATTGGCGACCCACTGAGGATACTTTGATTCCCGGACAAAACCATTAGCGAGCAACTTATCAACTTCTTCGTTGACTGCCTCGTTGATTGTGGCATTAAAATTTCTTCTCATTTGCCGTACTGGCCGGTAAAGAGGGTCGACATTCATCCTGTGTGGCGATGTCCCTTGGGATTCTCGACATATCTGAATGGGAAAAGTCAAACAAATCGGCACTGTTAGTTAAGAACTCATGGAACTTACCTGGTTCTGAGAGGTTGTGTCTGATATAAGCTTTTTCGTGCTGTCAATGTTGTCCAATTGAACGGGGTCGTGGTCTTCTACGGTTGCCTTGCAGGATTCTACGACATCCGGGTCTTTGATGGCCTCTATTTGTATGTCGGGTTTGGTTCCCGATATGGCTGATTGCTATGCTTCCGCACTTGCCCCCTTTAATTGTTGGGTGTGTGTGCAATTTTGGGCGATTCAGTACCATTCTTGGGCGGTGCGTGGCTCGCCCAGATGCTGAATATTCCCCATGGGGTAGAAAATTTGATTACTTGATAGAAACTTGACGGGACGGCTCACATGATGTGTATCCATGGACGCCCTATGATAGCGTTGTAGGTTGTTTCCTGGTTCATGACGTGAAACGTTGTTTCCAGAGTGACTCCTCCTGCCAGAACGGGTAGCACTATCTCTCCAGAGGTTCGTTCCACTGCATTATTAAAACCAATTAGTGTTATGCAACGCTATACTATCTTATCCTCGAGTCTCATCTGTATGAGAACTCGTGGATGAATAATACACATGCCGCTTCCGTCATTCACCATTATTCTTTTTATATCGATATCCTCGATATGTAAAGTTATAACCAAAGCATCATAGTAAGGGAAATACAACCCGTTGGTATCTGATTTATCGAAGATGATACTATCTTCGAGGTCGTCGTACCGTTCATGAGCGACTGTCCGCTTAAGTTTGTGTGTGTTGGTGAATTTCACATGATTGATTACCGTATCATCGCCGCTGCCAATGATCATTTGTATGGTACGAGATGGTGAAGGTGGTTTTGGGAGTCTTTAAGGTTGATCGTGTCCACGAGCAAAGTTAACCCGTCCTCGATCGCTCAGCAGTTCTTTCATGTGTCCCTGGTTTAGCATTCTTACCACTTCCTGTCGCAGACCTATGTAGTCTTCAGTCTTGTGTCCCCTTTCCTGGTGGAATTCACATAGAACATCCGATCTCCGGGTGCTCGGATATGACTTCATCTTTTGTGGCCACTGCACCTTTGTGCCGAGCTTCTCTAGTGCATACACTATTTCTGAAGGAGACGCAAAAGTTATGAGCAGATAACAGTTGAGGCATACCTCTTTCGTTTCGGTGTGGTGCGGGGTGTCGAGGCGTGACGTCTGCATGTCGTAGAGGAGGCGGGATGGATGCCCGGATATAGGGCTGATGCCTTTCTCGATTGAAATGGGATAGTTGATCCCTTCGACCATCATTGCAGTGATCTCTCCTTGTTTTGATTTAGAACGATGTTAGCCGTTGGATCAGACCATTTAGGTCGTCCTCGTCTGCCCTTACTTCGGCACAATAGGCATTATGTATTTCTTCCTACGTGGTGGAAGGGTACTTCATGAGTCTACTTAGTAGCTTTTTGGTTGCTTTCGACCCGTTCTATTTAACCCATTTTGGAAGGCTGTTACCGCTATCCCTTCTGATATGTTTGGTAGGCTCATTCTTACCCTGTTGAATCGGGCTAGTTAATCTCGAAGTCCCTCGCCTGTCGTCTACCTAACGGCGAAGATGTTATTTACCCTGGCTTCTGCCTTTTTCGCTCCCGCGCGAGCGGTGAAGAATTTATCTGCCATTTCTTCAAACATTGATATTGACCGTGCCAGCAGTTGGGAATACCACGTCAGCGCTCCCCCTATTAGGGTTTCGCCGAACTTTTTTAGTAGCACCGATGACACCTGTTCTTTTGACAGATCATTGCCTTTTACTGCCATGACGTAGTGGATTATGTGATCTTCCGAGTCCGTGGTGCCATCATATAATTTCAAGTATGGCGGCATTTTGAAGGTTTTTGGAATAGAGTGGGGAGCTTCCCCTTCACTTTATGGTTGCTCGACGAATCGGCCTACGTCACGTTTTGGCAGCAACTTCGGAGCACGCGATATTTTATCGACCCTTTCCTGATGCTCCTTCATCTGATCACGGAGCGTTTTGTTCTCGTTTTACATTTCTTCTATTTTCTTTATGATGGATACAAGTGCATCGTTACCTGTATCAATGACAGTATGAGTGTTACCTGTGCATGGAGTTTCCGGCTCATCGGCGACAGTTGCGGTTTCTGCGTGTATTGTGCCTCCGATATCCCTTTGAACGGGTTTGTCGAGTATGTTGCTCAAGGTGTTTGTCAACCACTCTTCTAATATCCTTTTCATAGCCGGTGGTACTTCTCCTGCTGCGGATGTTGAGGTTTCCCTCTCACGCGAGACAGTCAGGCTTTCGTGTGGGGGGAGGGGGTAAGGTATCTCCCTCAGGTGTAGCGCTTGGCGTTGTGTTTTCATTTTCTTCCCTCCCGGCTTAGTTGATGGAATCTAGAAGGTTGTTCGTGACACCTACTATTGCCTTTAATCTTGCTTCCCCCTTTCCTGTCATTGTTGGTCTTTCGAGGCTAAGAAGAGGTGATTATCCCTTTCAAGGATCTAGACAAAACTAAAATCTCAGCTATAGAAATCCCCACAGATGGCGTCAAATTATTTGATTCAAAAGATATTAGAACCTATTTGAATAAATCAATTAAAGAAAATGAAGGGGTAAATGTTAGCTAAGTATAATAAATGCTAAAACAAAAGGTATAAAAGATGAACACAGTGGACAATATTTCTTGATCTTGCCCAGATGAGTGATCGAACGTTAAGTATGACAATCATTTATGTAGAAAAGTATTACAGTCAGTGTTCTTAGCTAAAAAAAGCAAAAAAAAACCCTTACAAGGTTGTTTTCCAACTATATATAAGGGACAAACCCCTTCTGAATCCTAAAAGACATATCATAGAGAATATTCGAACGAATATTCCTAGTGCCCCCTGTTGGGCCTACACTACTGTAAAAGTCATGCAGTCTCTGTTCGCTTGTCTGTCGTCCTCCACAGGACGTTGAGTTACCGGGATCTCGTCATTTGTCGTATTCGTCAATGGTCGTGGTCGTCCAAATTTGGACCCATACACATATAAGGTGTAGAGTTACTTTTAATGGTATGATACATTTTGGAGAAATACAGAGTTGACTTAGCCAATCACAAAATCACCTAAAATGTTGCTTTACCATCTTGGCAACTCATCAAACTTCTGTAAATTTATATATGGTTCTAGTTGGAGAGAGTGTTTAAGGACCCTTTGATTCCAAGCTTAGAGATCGAACAGGCCATGAAAAGAAGAACAACCATATTACATTTTGCTAAAAAGCAAAAGCTCAAGGTAAAAAAAATGTATATTTGGTAGATTTAGGAGTACTATGCATGAAGAGCATGCAGGTGATGAATCGGGCTGAAAGTGAAAGTGTGGCATATCCTGATTTCTTACCTTGTTGAAATCCATCTTGAAATGGTTGGTGTAAATTCATATCCGATAATCCGACTTTAAAACATGATGTATCCTACATTATAATGACCAAGCTCATCTAGTAATGCCATGCTTAGAACTACAGTTTCTACAGAGAATAGCTTGTGCAGTCTAACATTCTCAGCTTCATGAGGGAATGAAATGCAAAATGCTTACTATCTAATTAGTCTGTACCTACTTACTTGTTAAATTCAGTTTATTATCTTCTGGTCTATGATTCTCAGAAGCATTCTTTTGGACTTCATATGGGAAAAATAACAGCGCTCCCATGTTAGAGATTATATGCAGATGGTCTGCTTGAGATATTATTGTTGCATGATAAGTGTATCCACTGAAGGGGAGCCTTGGCGTATGGTAAAGTTGTTGCCATATGACCAGGAGGTCAAGAGTTCGAGCCGTGGAAATAGCCTCTTCCACAAATGCCGGGGAAGATTGCGTAGAGGGCCAATCCCTTAGGTTGTTTAAGTAGAGGTTTGGGCTAAGGTCGTCGCGCTCTTGCCACCTCTTGGCAAAGTAGGATGATGAGCAAGACCCCTCCTGTCTTAACGGTGTGGGGTATCAGAGGCTGTTACCCGTGGCCAACTCAAAGGGGCTGAAGTTCGACGCACCTTCATTGCCTGCTGATCTATCCAGTGATTTTCTGATGGGATAGTTCTGTCGTTGTGACCACAATATCGCATTACCATGGTAGCTGCCTTGTTGGTAAATTGGTTGATAGGACCCTTGTAGTTCGGCCCTTCCCCAAATTCCGCGCATAGCGGGAGCTTAGTGCACCAGACTGTCCTTTTGATAAATGTATCCACTCTTCAATTACTATTGACATATTATCTTATACTTGCAGGTGAGAGAATTACACTGGTTTTACTTTGCAGATCATAGCCATTTGAGTACCAAGGGAGTCAATTACATAAAGTCTAACATAAAGCAAATCTTGAAATTCAAAATCAAGAACTTGATTACAGAAGAATTACAAAAACTGAAACAAAAGATTATTTGGAGTTTGTACTCCCTTATGAATGGAACACAACTGACTTCATAAATTACAAACTTCTAGCCACATTCTATAGCTACCCTCACAAAATGCCTCAAAAAGTTGAAAATATTAATTTCATCGTCACTCCTGGAAGTTGAACCAAGTTTTTGAGTACTTGAATCAGTAGAGACTTCAGCAACATGACAATTAGATTGTTGTCCTTTCTTCCCTGCATCCATACATTAATGCAATTTTTTAAAAAAATCTTCTTCTAACTTCAAACTTATTATAAATTAAAGCTTTTCAAATAGGAAATGCAACCTCTTGTTTAGACTTGAGATTGATGGCATTAGAAGTTTCCAGTGTTGATGGCATCGGCATTTGCATCTCCAAGTGCTGCCTCTTTAAGATATGTTTCAGCCAACTGAACTCTCTTCACGTTTTCTTGCTCTTGAACAAGCATGTTACCATACTCAAGGAGCTTCTCAACAGTCATTTTTGGTTGCTCAAAAGTTGGGGGTCCGTCGAAAGAGTTCAGAAGTTTGTCCCCAATAGCTTCAATTCCAGTGCCTGAAACCCATTTCCTCACCTCATCATCGTATACTCGTGCCCTCAGAGCACCAAAGAAGTCTGTATCAGAACAAAAAGATACACATTAGTTATCATCAACAGGCTCTATTTTACTTTCAGAAAAGTGCAATATTTTGAGTTCTGAGTGTCTGTACCAATAGATTGTCCAGGGAAGGTATCGACAATCTTTATAACGGCTTCCTCAGGCACGTTGTCGGTCCTGAAAATACCCTTGCAAACACCAATTCTATCTTCCCTAGTTGGTGCCCAATAGAACTTCTCCATACGACCATCACGGATAAGAGGAGCATACAATGTGGAGAAGTCGTTACCAGTGACAATAATGGGGACTCTGGCGTTCTCTTGCTTGTTGTACATACCGGGGAGCTGGACGTTTGTCGGGTTATCAGCAATGTTCATGAGAGTGGCATTCACCATCTGGTTGTTGACAGTGTATTGGGTAGTTCCACCCATTCTACCAGCTCCTGCATCGAGATCGTTGATGAAGAGGCAACACATGTTTCCTTTCCTGATGATTTCTGCTGCCTCTCTGTACCTTTGCCTAATCAATTTTGCAGGCTCTCCTGCATTTCCACTTTCCAATTCTCCGGCACTCATCATAATAGGGCTGCAAGTTTTATAGTACAAGCATAGTGAGCAAGAGACCGTTTGGCTTAACTGATTAAAAATAGCTAATAGGCATATAGTGCTGAAGTTGATTTTATAAATAAGCAGTTACGTATTCGGATGGTCCCGCTTATGGGGTCAAATCAATACGTTCTAAGAAGAAAGATTGGAATATCAATCTCATCGATGTCATACCAAATCCCATCAATCGAATCACTTTTTCGAGAAATACGAGACATCTAAGTCATACAAGTAACGAGGGACGGAGGAGGCTAGGTTAGCCGAAAGATGGTTATCGGTTCAAGAACGTAAGGTGTCCCTGCTTTGTCAGGGTAAGAAGGGGTAGAGAAAATGCCTCGAGCCAATGTTCGAATACCAGGCGCTACGGCGCTGAAGTAACCCATGCCATACTCCCTGGAAAAGCTCGAACGACTTTGAGCAAGAGGGTACCTGTACCCGAAACCGACACAGGTGGGATAGAACTGCTTGCAACTTATAATAAGCTACTTTGATCCTTTGACTTTCACAAAATAGTACAATATGATAAAGGAAATACTCACTTGATTCCCATCTTTCTGAAGACAAGCTCACACTGGAAAGATTTACCTTGACCTTTGCCTCCCCAGACACCCAAAATGAGTGGAACCTATAAGAAAACATACACAATATTGATTATTTTTCACCACAAAAGACAGCTTATGTCAACCTGAATATTAAGACAAGTAAATTTTTTAAACAGACCTTGATGTTGGGCAATTTCAAGAAGTTCTTGGTGATGTGAACAACAAGCTTGTCCATGAAAGAAGGAGCGATGTAGAATCCGTCCAACGTGTTGTCCATGTTGTATCTAGAGTGAAAATTTTCATTAACAATCAAACATTAGAATCAATTAGCTAGCTCTTCTCAAGTTTTCAAGAATTAGGAAACAATTTCTTATGCCCAATGGAGGACTTACTGGCGAAGACCTTGGCTGACATATTCGTAGGATTGCAAAACAGCATGGTGAGTACCAGTACCTGTTGGAGCCTGGAAAAGACTGTCAACCATACCCTTACCCCGGGCGATGTCCTGTTGATCATCGGAAAAGTCTTGAACAAGACCCTTCCATCTGTCACTATCGGTCTGTTTCTTGGGATCGGCATCTTTCTCTTCAGCTGCAATCCTCAAGCTCCTGTTTGTAACCTTGGGGCTTGAAACACCTTTTCCATACACTTTCTTCAAAGTTTTGCCAAAGAAGGCTGTGCTTGGAACTGAAGTTCCAGCAACTGAGTTGTTCAAACTCAACTGCACCAAGAATGTTCCCGTAATCAGACCCACCGAAACATATTCCTTCCGTTTCATTTTGTATAACAATATTTGATTGAGCGCAAAGTTTAAGAAAGAAAGACTTTTGGCATATAGTAAAAGCATTTTTAGAACTTGTGGTCTAAAACATGTCGTGACAATTCTATCACTACAAGAACATGTCGAAAGTCGAAGAGTTTCCAAATATAGAGAGGTGTAATTCTTTATCGAACATGCTAAAAAAGTGACATATAAAATGGAACAGAGAAAGTAGTAAAATCTTGAAGAAGGTAACCAAGGCTTCTAGTACCAGATTCTGGTTAAATTTGAAACCATAGGGGAGGTAGATCCTCCTATAGTATCCTATATTTAAAAATCAAAACACAAACACCCCCAAATATCCATCAACTTTCTTTATTTTGTTGGCCAGTTCCCTACAAGAAGGGGAGCCTTGAGGTAACCGGTAAAGTTGCTTCCATGTAACCAGGTTGTCACGGGTTCGAGCCGTGAAAACAGTCTCTTGCAAAAATGCAGGGTAAGACTGCATATAATAGACCCTTGTGGTCCGACCCTTCCCCAGACCCCGCACATAGCGGAAGCGTAGTGCACCGGGCAACCCTTTTACCCAGTTCCATACAAAATTCAATATTCTTAATTCCTTAATTAAAGAACTCACAAAAGGTTCCAAGTTCCAGTTATTTGCCCAAGAAAATTAACATAATTTAGCTACTATTCTACCCCCTAATTCTTTCACATATAATTTGACAGTATACAGCCTCAAACAAGACAATTAAAGATACAAGTTTATAGCTTAACATGGAACTAGGTATGCAGTTAGATGAATAATTCAAGATACACCAAAAAAGGAAATACTGGAATCCTAGTGAACAAAAAAGTATCATAGTTGGACTCTCCAAAATGACGCCGCACTTGTGTCGGGTCCTCCAGAAATGTTACTTTTAGAGGATCTGACACAAACCTACTTATATTCGAGTAACATAGGCATCTTTAACTATATAGAAGTATAAGACAAGAATTTATAACTAATTTTATGAAATATATTGACATGAGTAGGAGAATGATGAGAAAAAACACAGTACCGGTGCTTTGTTGGCAGCTCCAATGGTTGACACTGAGGTAGCCATTATCTTGACTACTGTGATGACAACTTGATCAAAGAAGCTAAGGATTGAGCTTTCTTGATTTGCTAAATATATTCAAAAATTGGTTGAAGAAGATAGTATGGGAAAGGATAGGCTTTATAGTAGTACTAGTTGTGACCGTAAGAAAAATTATGTGGATTTGGCTTACGATTTCTCAACGGCCACAAATTGAAGATTGGTTATCTATGTGGAGATTATGAAGGTGACTTGTAATTTTTGGCATGGGCAATCCATATTTTTATTTTTATTTTTATTTTTGCATTTTTATTTTTCTTGCTTGGCTAGGTGACTAGATTGAGTAACAACAAAATTTAGGCTTATGGCGATTGGCTACCTCTTTATTTTGAGGTTAGATTTTAAGATGTATTTTCCTCCATAGATGTAATTGTCCCTTTTTTGAATGTTGTTTTTTTCCTACATAGATGTAATTGTCCCTTTATTGTATGTTGTTGATTTCCTCCTGGCGGATAAGGAGAACTTGAGGCTGTTATTGAATCAGTCTACCAAAAATATGCGAAATTTGGATTTCTGGCTAGTATACTTTCTGAAAAGGAACTAATTTGGGAATAAGGAACTAAAACTTGCATTTGAACAAAATTTGCAGACTAAAGTGTTCCTCATTAGTCCAAATTTATTACTCACTAGTAACTAAAAGCAATCGAAATGAGTTTGACCCGTGATGCTGCACGATCCAACCCGCTAGTTGGGAAGGGTTGGGGCATTTGCATCTATACCCGCTTTTTCTGTCACATTTTAACTTGTGCCCGCTTTGCAAAAAAAATGCAAGCGTACCCGCTTTTTCACATAACTTCAGCATACGGGGCTGAAGTAGCAAAGGCAATCACGCAAAACTTCAGCATTCTAGTAGCCGGCCCTGAAGTTCAGCTCTAGAGCTGAAGTTTTTGTGTTGTAACTGGAAACTTCAGCTCTAGAGCTGAAGTTTTTTTACCACCTATTAATATTATATACTAGAGCTGAAGTTTTTCAGTTACAACACAAAAACTTCAGCTCTAGAGCTGAAGTTTTTGTTTTTGCAACTGGCGAACGAGCTGAAGTAATTTCTCATCCTTCAATTGCAACTTCCACTCTCTTTTGATTGAAAACTACTGTTCCTTTTTATTTGTCTTTCCCAATTCGGTTTCCTTTCTAGTTTTTCTCTCCAATCAAACAAACTGATTTATGATGTGTATTCGCATGTTTCGGTCCTTTAGACTATATAATATAAAAGGGGTGGATAAATTGAAATCGGAAACTAGGCGCATATATTTTTATTCTTGAATTTTCATTGGCAGAATGAACAAATAAATAATTTTGTTACAAAATATCCAACAGACGAAACTGAATGTAAAAGGAAAGAAGAAGAAAACGAATGAGAAGAAGGAAGAGGAGAAAGAGGGCTGAAGTTGTTTAAAAAGTGGGTACAAGTTAAAAGTTTTTAAAAAAATAGGTATAAATTAAATGAGGGCGATCAAATAGGGTTCTCGTGCAATTTTTTCGGAAGGGTTGGATCAAAATTTTGTTGGCCCATTCAAGATTGAAGCTTTGGCCCAGCCCAATCAGTCTGTTGGATGTAAAAAAAAAAAAAAATTACCTCCTACAACAAAGTTTTACACCTTATTTATTATAAATAAAAATCCTTTTAATATATTATTTTCTATAGCTACCTTTTAGTTTTTATAGTAAAATAGGTATTTATGGTTACTTCCTATCATTAAGCCATTAAACACTCTCTCTAATATTTTTCTCTCTCATTCTTTATATAAAACTACCTCCTTATTAAACCCTAGCGTATGTTCTTTTCAAACTAATCAAACTAACTTTCTTCATCTTGTGCAGAATCTCAATATTGAACTTGAAAACTATAAATGTGGATGTAAAAAATCCAGTCAATAACAGTGCATACAAAATAGGAGGAAGCTGAAGATTGACCTAAAGGCTTTTTGTCACCATTATTGCCTTATAGAAGAATTCCAAATATGTACATATGGAAACAAATTTCCTACTAGCTTTTTTAAAGCTAAAAGTGAATTCTCTTGGTCGTTTTTTTCCTTGAAGTCTAATTTAAGACGACATTGCAAAGTTGGTTATGGGAGTAGGTGTCACGATCCTAAAACCGGACCCGATCGTGATGGCGCCTCTCGTGAAGACAAGGCCAGCCGATACATTCCCAATTCCCTTTTAAGTAGTTAAGATAATACAATTAAGTCTTAAACATGATAAAATCCCAAAATAAGCAGTGACAGTACAATTTGCGAAATTAAAACCAACACAATCCGACATCGGGGTGTCACCAGTCATGAGCATCTATCAATATACTACAAGTCTGATGAGTTTACACAGCTAATACAGAATCACTAATAAGAGAAAAGAAATGAGATCG